TGACGCCTCTGCTCTTTCCAGGGCTTTATCTCTCTCACCCACACCCCACCTCAGACAGCTCATTGTGGCGCAGGAAGGGAGGCAGCTAATTGCGCCCCCCTCCCCCCGCTCGTCACTGGTCACCTGGCCCCTCCTCCTTCATTCATCTCAGGCCAGCAAACGGTTCTAAGAACCAATAGTACATTTAGGAATCGGTTCTATAGAATAGGTGCGAACCTGCTGAATCCCACCTCTGCATTTTAGGGACTTTTGGGTATAGGCCTTTAAATAAACTCAGAAGTATCCAAATATTTCGCAGATGCAGGAGTTAGGTGATACCTTTGTTGAACCACTAAAAATCCCACAAATTGCAAGCTTTTGAGGATAAATTCCACTTCCTCGGGCTGTGCATTTTGTGTGATTTGTGTGTGTGTGTGTGGTGCAGTAAAGGTATCACCTAATTCTTGCACTTGTGTAATCCTGAACCTTACAACCTTTTCTTAATACTTTCCAAAACTTTCGGGTTCTTTCCTTTTGCATCTCATTCTGGTTTCTGGTGCCTCATCAATTTAAGCCCCACAGAAATCTCAAAGCAAAACCTAGTAAAACAAAACAAAACCCTGGGGGAAGGCAGCACACAATCACCCACTCCAAAAGTGGACAATGACAACACTGCATGACAAAGAAAGAAAAAAAGAAAAAGAAAAGCTGTCTTTCGTAGTTCTGTGGAGGCAGAAATGATACGTTAAAGGTCACATTTATCACTAAAGGGCACATTTATCACAACATCACCTTATAGTCCTCCTTATCAATCCAGCACGAGGAAACAATTAGAGATGGGCACGAATCAAAAAAAACGATTCACCAAATTCATTTTAAAATTGCTCATTTGTCCATTCATATTTGTATGAATCAATGCCCCCAACAAATTCAAATTAATGAATGTTTAGTGATTTTTGATTAATCATTTGTTTGGCTTTAAAATGGTTCGCGAGGCACCAAGAAAAACCAAAATTGCAGGGAAGCTTCTCCTCTACACTTCAAACCCACCCATGATCAAAATAAAACGTACACATCCCCATTCAGGGTGATATTAGCAATTCCCCAAGCTAACCCCTCAAAATATGGATGATTGGGGAAACAGCTTTCCCTTTCCTCCTTCTGATAGCTTCAGTCCAACAGTGCAGGCAGTCATCTTCCCGGTGAAGGGCGGGCGGGCACTCCAAGCAACAATAAAGGAAATGGAGGAAAATCCATTTAAACGTCAGTAAAATAGAAAGCCCAAAATGTTTATGAGATATAAAATATGAAAGAAATCCTTAATTTGTGTTTACCTCTTTTTTGTCATCCTGTATCTTCCATGTTTCAGAAGGTAAAATTATAGTAAAACCATGAAAAACTCCAAAACTGAAAGAATGGGCATCTTTTGTGTTTTTCTCCCTTCAGAATAATCCAAAAGTTCCATCCGCGTAAGTGGGTTATTTGGAAGATACAGTAGGATCCCCCTATCCCTGGGATCTGCTGATCCACTTATCCACAGTCTGGAAATATTAAAAATATTAAAAGAAAGATCTTAGAAATATATATTTCTAAAGAGGAAGTTGCCAAAATTGGCCACTAAGGGGAGTCAGATACCATGTTATGTACAGTATATTTTTCACTAATCATCATTTGCTATAATGATGACAACACTTTAACCACTACACCTTGGTGCCTTTTGCTGGAATTTGGCAACCTGCCTTTATTATAGCGGTTCTTAATCTTTTCCTTACCATGGACTCCTTTTAAATATATTTTTTTTGCAATAGACCACCAAGACTTAACCCAAGATTTAAAATGCTAAAGTGTATCAAATATTTGTTTAATGTTTCTCATGGTCTTCAGATTTGGAGAAACTTGTAAAACTTGTAAAATCTCTTTAATTCTTGCTGGAGAAACTGAAATTACAAGCACATAAAATCATTAATATGACACACCTACCCAAATCGGCAAATGACATGAATATAATTTGTACAGAATTGTATCTCATTAAACACAAACTGGGTGGGGGGAAAGGAACATCATATATTCATATACAATTGCAATTAATGAGATGGCTGGTGCTGCTTTTCACTTACAAGCCTTGTTATATTGGGATTAACAGCTGGAATTTGTATTCCACAAGCCTTGTTATATTGGGCTTAACAGCTGGAATTTGTATTCTGACTCTATCCTTTTTGAACAGTCCCTATATTTATTTTTAAGATAACAAGAGCAGAAAATGATTTTTCACACAAGTATGTCATTACAAAAGGTATCAATACTTTCATAGTAGTTCTCGAAAAATTGGGTGTAGGTGAGAAATTTGGAAAGGCCTCTTCCTTGAGCTGCAATTTCAGAACAACATCCCTGGATATTTCTATG